AAAAAAAAAAAAAAAAAAAAAAAAAAAAAAAAAAAAAAAAAAGAAAGAAGGAAAAATAATGATCAACCCCTATTTAACCAAGAGGTTGCGCAAAAGCCATGGAGAAAGCTAGAATTGAAAGATGGGTGTTCCACAGCTGTCTGCTCAGATATCAGTGTGATGCTAGAGGGAGTAAGCTTCTTAAATCCTACCCACAGTATGTTTACAGTGTTACTTCATTTCTTTGATCCAGAGGCTTAGAACCCATAAACAACAAGGCTGAATCAGGGCCCCAGGTTGAGACCTGAGAGACAGGAGTCACTGTGGCAGGTCTATCACTAATGAGCTGACTCTAGGAAAGCCGAGTGGACTTCTGGTGCCTGTTAATATCATCTCCCCCGTCACTGGCCAATTTAGGGGCAAATATCAGGTAATACATGTGGATATTACACTGAGGTAAAAACACACAGTGTGAAGTATCACTACAGAAAAGGCTCTGAACTGTTTTTGTTCTATTCACTACATTTAAAGTATGAGGAGAGGCAGTCTCATGAAATGGTTATAGGCAGGTTCTCGGGACAGACAGCCTTGGGTTCAAATCACTTACCTAAATGAACAACCTTGGGACAACTTCCCATATGCCTCTGAGCTTATAAAGACAGTAAAGTTTCTGCTTTATACTGTTTGTTATTGTAAAAATGAAACTGAGTAATATCGATAAGCACAAACTTAGCACCTACAATCATTGCTGTCATTGTTAATCAAAGAAAATGGCTCTTAAGACCTTTGCCAAAGCACTGACTAAGGAAGAAACAGATACAAGGCAGAGAAAAATAATGAATATAAACTGGGTCATTATAAAACCACTCCAGGCCGTTTGATTCCCCAAAAGAGACTATCGCTTTCCACAGTATTGGCTTATGATTTTCCTTCCATTTGGCAAAGATCCTCATGCCCCCAGCCTTCCAGGCTAGTCTCAGGGTATGCCTGATCCTCGTCTGATCCTGGGGTTCCCAGGACGGGCAAGCGGGAAGCCAGCATTTCAATGCTGACATTTTCGTGTGACTCCCCTACCAAAAGCATCTCACACAAGGTGCTTATGATCTATTATGAATGCAAAGTACTTGATACAAAGATCACACTTCTCTCAAGTTTGTGATTTATAAAAAAACAATTTTAAACAGTGCATTTGATGTCACTCTTTTAAAATCTGATGGAACTTGACTGTTTAAAGCAATTTAGCAATAGTGTATGACATTCAAATTGGGAAAAAAAGAATTCTTTTATTCTTATAAATTATTTTTTAAAATCTTATATAAATGGCTCCCTTGTTTCAATTTTGGCAAAGCCTTAATGTTTTCCACTGTTAGTGCTTGGTTGGAGTAATGCACTAACATTAAGTTCTAGGGGTGAAATAAATAAATTTTCCTGCCACACCTCTCTCTGACAAAAGCCACTTTTTCTGGAGTGGGGGGGTATCGTAAACCATGAATCCTACTTTTCCCAATCTCATCCTCTACCTTCTGGAGTATTTAAAAAAAAAAAAAAAAAAGCTAGCCTGAACACAGTTGTTATCTTTATTAACCCAACTTCACACTCACTGATTGGGATTAATTCTATTGTACGTCCTGAGTGAGAAAAGTAGACACTACTTTTGCTGTTATTTATTTTACTTTTCATAGGACAATGTATGAAACAAACATATTTCAATTCAGAGAGATGTTAAATTTTAAGCTATTAAAACCCGTAATTCCTCATATGTGTTATTTGCAAGTTCTCTAAAAATCATACCTTTTCTGCTTAAAGTTACCATTTAATACACCATGAAGGTAATGTAGCAAAAATAAAAAATTTAAAGTTATTTTTCTAACAACTGGCCTGATGACCTAGTTTACTAATATTCCTCGTTTGAACACAAAATTCATGTCGAAAAAGGGAGGCTAACTACCTCAAAGGATTGCTGAGAACCAAGGAGAAAAGAAATACCACAAGTCTTTGTAAATTCCTAAACATGTGGCAAATGTAAGATTACAACAACAATATTTTAGAAACATACAATTTTCTAGGAAGATGCTGCTGCCATTACCAAACATTATACCTTGGCAGTTTGGAATTTTCAATAACTAGTATCAACCTGAAAATTAAAATTGTTAGGCTGTGGCCGAGAATATGGTTTCAAAACAGTACACAATAAAGACAGGACCACTGAACTCCCACCAAGGACTCTACCTGGGCAAATCACCTGGGCCTTCCTTCATTTTTACCCTAAAGTTGACGTCATTGTGCCCCAGCCCTGGAAAACCAACGAGTTCTTCACTAGAATTCATTTAACTGCCAAGAATGTATGTATTCTTCTCTGATACAGTAAGCAAGCTGCCTAGTACAAATATCACTACCACTTAGAATAATCACATTCTACAAATGGTTTCTGAAATCACGAACACCATGTCTTTATGACTTACCAGACAGTAACATATGTCCTTCAAAAACAGTGTCAGGTGGAACTCTAGGCTTGCAATTTTTCACAGCTTCAGCAATTTCCCTGAGTTGAAAAAGAAAACACTATATCCATTAATCCAGAATAAAATATATTTAATGAAGCTAATTTCAAAACTAATTGGGACGATGAAACTATGTATATTTAACATAATTATGCATATGATTATATACCTACTTCCAAATGTGCGGCAACAATTATGTCTTTTAGTTTTCTCAGCAAAGTAGAAAATTAATCTATAAACTGTAACTTTTTTTTCTTACAATCTAGTATGGAGGTGCATATAAACTGTAACTTTTATGTGCCTGCCTGTCCCCTATGCTGGCTGGGTTGTTTTTACTTTCTGAGACATGAACCTGGAGCTACATGACAGTTTCACGAATGCAAACAGCAAAATTCTTCCCATCTTCCCCAAATCCACAGATGTCTTTTACTCTGTCAAATCCACATACACACATTCCTACTCAAAATTTGAAGAGAAAAAGGGCTTCACCTTCGACAAGAAGGAGCAGGCAGGAGCAGAGGGGCTAGGAGAGGAGGGAATTGGGTCTAGCGGATCTGTTTTCACTAGAGCATACACACAGTTGCGGGGCAGGGTGTGGGGGTAGGTTCATAGCCATAAAGCACTAAAACTCCAAAATAATTACTCTTAAAGATTTGTTTTAGTCATTCACACTCTCTTTAACCTTATCAGTTTTAATGAATCATGTCTTTGATCAACCAGAAAAATCTGGCTACTCCACTAAATTTATCAGGACCAGTAAGAACTGCTCTACTCTACTGTCCCCAAATTAGAATGTGAACATCTAAGTAAAAGAAGCAAATATATAAACAGACAGATATATAGATACACACAAATATACACAGACATTTAAAACAACTCCCCTTTTTAAAGAGAAAACAAAAAGAGATAGTTGCTGATCCAAAGATAAGTGACATTTAACTACTGATAGCTTTCAGACATTATTTACAAGATATTTTAAAAACAATTAAGAGTCTATCACATCAGTCAACAAAAGCAGTGAGTTATAAGGTAACTCAGTAGAGTGAACACATTATACACAAGAAAACAAACTTGGAGGCCAGGCGTGGTGGCTCACGCCTGTAGTCCCAGCACTTTGGGAGGCCGAGGCAGGCTAATCATGAGGGCAAGAGATTGAGACAATCCTGGCCAACATGGTGAAACCCTGTCTCTATTAAAAATACAAAAATTAGCTGCGCGTGGTGGTGCACCCCTGTAGTCCCAGCTACTCAGGAGGCTGAGGCAGGAGAATCGCTTGAACCTGGGAGGTGGAGGTTGCAGTGAGCCGAGATCCCACCACTGCACTCCAGCACTCTGGCCTGGCAACAGACTCAGACTCCAAAAAAAAAACTTGGAACAGTGAGATGACGGACCTGAAACATGATCATCAGTCACTCCAGGGGAAAAAACAAATATCAACAGTCCTAAACATGTTCCATTTCATTGAATTCCAATCTTCCTATAAGCTATAAAACTCTAAAGAATTAAACACATGGTCATGCTCGTTTCACTCCCTTCCTTCATATGCTTACTTGAAAACACGAATTAAGCAACCAGTGAAGACACCTCTCCTGACCTCAAGATACCTGTTGTCTTATTGTCTTTTCCTTCCATGAGGGAATCTAAAGGAGGCCTGTATTTGCCCACAATAAATAGGAGCTGTCCTCTTAGAGCATTCAAATATTACTCAGGTATTTAAGGATAGAATATCATAATATCTAAGATTTGCTTTACAAAATCCAGCGGGAAAAGCTGAGGGACAGATGAAATAAGAATTGAAAAACACTGAAAAGTATGGCAACTATGTGATAGGCATATAGAGGTCCATTTTATTATTTCTCTAAAATTTTTCATAATATAAAGGTGTATGAACTTACTAGGAAGGGCTGCCATAACAAAGTGCCCAAGACTATGTTATGGCAGCTTAAATAACACAAGTTTATTTTCTCAGAATCTGAGTTGAAGGTGTCAGCAGGGTTAGTTAGTTTCTTTTAAGCCCTCTCCCTTGGCTTGTAGATAGCTATTTCTTCCCTTTGTCTTTAAACGGCCTTGCCTCTGTGTGCACATCTGTGTCCTGTTCTTAAAAGGGCACCAATCATATTGGATTAGGAATACCTGTATGGCCTCATTTTACCCTAGTCGCCTCTTTAAAGGCCTTATCTCCAAATACAGCCACATTCTGAAATAGTAGGGGTTAAAAGTTCAATATACAAACTTTGGAAGGACACAATTCAGTCCATAACAAAAGGTACATCTTTAGGTTATTGCCTGATCATCCATTTGCTTTTAGATATATTGTCTATAGGTGATTATTACCTGATATGATCTGGTGTTGAACCACAGCATCCTCCAACTATATTGACCAAGCCATCCATAGCAAAATCCTGCATTTAAGAAAAGACAAAGTTTGAGCAAGTTCATCTGAAGTCTAAACTCATTACCACCAATTCAATATAAAAGACATCTATTCTTCCTGAATAACTAAGACTACACTAAAAACAAAGTTAAACACACTTAACTCTAGATATAAAGATGTCACATACCCTAGACATAGAATAAAAGCAAAGAATAGTTCAAATGCTGTGAAATCCTTTATACTATTTAAAATGCAGTGAGAGGATGGGTATGGAGGCTCAAACCTGTAAACTCAGCACTTTAGGAGGCCAAGCCAGGAGAATCACTTGAGGCCAGGAGTTTGAGACCAGCCTGGGAAACATAGCAAGACCCCATCTCTACAAAAAATTTTTAAATTAGCTGGGCATAGTGGCATGTTTCTATAGTATCAGGTACTCAGGAGGTTAGGTGGGAGGACTGCTTGAGCCCAGGAGTTTGAAGATAGACTGAGCTATGATCATGCCACTGAACTTCAGCCTGAGCAACAAAGCAAGACCCTGTCTCAAACACATAGAAACAAAAGATAAAATTCAGTGGGAGATTTGCCTATCTAATGATTTTTTTTTTACCCATATGCTGAGCTGAATGAATGTGAGCTGGATAATGCATTTTCAAATAACATAAAATAGAGTATCGGTTTTTAAATTTACATTAATTTAAAAATGTTTAAATAACAATTCAGTTCCTCTATCACACTGGCCACAATTCAAAGGCTCCAAAAACCATATAGGAGTGGCTACATAGGGGACAGCATGAGTCTAGAGTTTAACGATAGGCTACTAAATAAAGGACACCGTAACTAACAGACAATGTCAAAGAAGCAGAGCAAGCGTATTGGAAAGATCGTCTACAAAGATAATAAAATCATAAGCCAGATATAGTTTAGGAGACAATGTCAGTGAAACAGAAGTTAAAATTCAAGGAACAAGGGGAAAGAAACCCAGGGATTAGTAGATAAGTGCAATAAGAATTGGCAGTGGACAATATGGTCTCATGACCAAGGAGTAAACAATGGCAGGTGCATGACAAACAGGTAGAGTGACGGAGGTGACAATGGGGGGGGCACATACTCCACCCAGCAGTCTGAGGGGTGTGAGAGCAGAACGTCACAATTTGGGAAGGTTGCAGGGGAAGCAATGTCTCAGAGAAGAGCCAAGTCTCAATTAGTTTAGAGTGAACCTCAATGGGAATTTTCCAGCAGCCACCAGTGCCAGTTGAGAATAAGGATGCTGACAGCCCTTCCCTGTGCCTCTACTACCTTAATTTGGAGTAAACCTTTCTTTGTTTTATGTACATTGGGATTTCTTCAGGGGAGAATTCTCCTTCTAAAAACTCTAAATCTAAAATTCAGTCTCTCTGTCTCTCTTAAAAAGCCAAGTGAAAGAGGATCCCTGACCTTTAGGTGCTTGGCCATCATAGAGGGTGTTTCATCATAGTCACCAAAGGTGTTGGGAAGACCTGAAAAAGGAAAATTCAACCATTACTGCAAATTGCCTTAACAAATATACACTGGATTTGTAAAGACTTTAGGTTGATAACCAAATAATTTTACATTTATATTAAATGGTGATTACTTGCAAAAACAAACACATAATATTTATACAGTCAACACAGAGACACCCCCCAAAAACTTTTTAAAAATCACGGAGGAAAATGAACTTCATTATTTCTTTTCCATTTGAAAGAAAAGATTCTATTCACTGTTAAGCAAAACAGAATGCCCCAAGCCCCACTCCTTCTCATAAGGGAAATTCATTCTTGTTACTAGTCGCTTAGGGGTGGGAGTGGAAGGAATGCTTCATAACCCCTCAACTAATAAGCAACTAACATGCCATTAAAAACAAACAAAAATCAACCAGTCTCCTTTCAAATAAATGTTCCCAACTAAGACTTTAGCTTATAACCATCCAATTTCTTGTTTTATTTATTATCTGCTTCCAGTTATCTTACTCCTGGTGGGAAATAAAATTTATTGTGCATTAAAATGATGTATTTTGAGAAAGAAGGCTGGAAAATGACTTTTAGCTCTAAATAGCTAAGCAACACTCAAATACATTCACAGGGAAATCTGGTTAACCCAGAACAAATTGCCAGTATTTAATGGGACAGTTTGAGAACTGCCTACAAATATCTTCAAAACATTTACATATAATAAACTGTATGTCCTAGCTTTCAGAGAAGAAAAAGGTAACACCACATAAGATGACTCTTCTGCTCTTCTACTAATAGAGTGGACCAGAGAAGAAGGGTCACTCTTCTGGTCACTTCCACAAGGCTTATACTGTCACCAAAGGCAAGGCTCTGGTCAGTTATGTGACTAGGCTCATTCCCAGAAGTTAAGTCCTATTCTGAAGCTTCAGGCTGAGCGAAATTCCCTCAGGTCTACAGGGAAACACTGGTCTGCACCCAAATACTCTTCACTTAGAACATTTCTGTTAAGTGTCAACTATACCAACACCTACAAAACAAGCTTTTTCACTCAAGATCTCTTACCTCATCTACCTCATGTCTTATGCTATTTTTATCTCCCCATGTGTGACCCCCTTGAAACACATACCTGCATTGGGATAACAGAGGACATAGGCTGTTGTACATTTTCCAATTATTTCAATAAAAGGTCTCATTTCAGCTGCACCCAAAGCACAATTTAATCCAATGCTAGAAAAACAGAAAAAAAATATTAGAAGCATCAACTTTCATCCATAATATTTATACATATAACAGTTATATTCAGAGACAATATATCTAAGACCAAGTGGATAATAAATCTCCTCATTCAAAGCACTTTTATTCAACTACCAACAAAGCCATCTCATTGAGGTCCCCTGCAGCACTAAGTATTTTTGCCAACGTCTCCATCTTCAGATAATCTCACAGCTGATGGACCCTGCCTATAGATGGACTCCATCAATCAGTTCACAGATTGCCTAATGGTAAACTGTGGGACAGAAATGTCAGCAAACTAACACTGCTAAAAAAAAGATCTGACCTGAAAGCAACATTTAAAAGAAGGGAAAAGGAAATCTTGGTGGTAGAAGGAACATGGAATGGCAGAAAGAAGCCACCCTTAAAGGCCAGAAGACCAGGACTTAGTGCCTGCCCCACAGGTACAGTCCCTGCTATCCTACAAGGCTGTCAGTGTGTGGTGGGCCTGAGATCTTCCCGAATTTATGAATCAACTATGAAGCTACTAGACTATGTGATCCGTAATGTTTTCGTAGTTTACTTTTTTCCTTTTATTGTGATTCCTAACTGCAAGGTGGCATCCCAGGCATTTCAGACAACGGATACTCAACCTACAGTAATATACTCTTATTTTTACAAAAGTACCACAGTCATGCAAAATGTTAACATGAAAACTAGAAAAATATACAGAAATTCTATGTACTATCTTTGCAACTTTTCTGTAAATCTGAAATGATTCCAAAATTAAGTTTATTTAACAAACAAACATCCAATAGCCATTCATTAAAAAAAACTCAGCAAACTAGGAATAGGGGGACATTTCCTTGACTTGATAAAGAATATCTACAAAAAACTTCCAGCTAATATCATGCTTAATCATGTGAAACTAGATGCTTTCCTGCTAAGATAAGAAATAAGGCCAGGATTTCCACTCTCATCTCTTATTCAATATTGTATATGAAGTCCTATGCAATAAGAAAAGAGAGAAAGTAAAAGGTATACGTACGAATTGGAAAGGAAGAAATAAAACTGTCTGTTCACAAATGACATGACTGTCTATGTAGAAAATCCCAAAGAATCACTAAAAACTCCTTGAGCTAATAAGCAATTATACCAAGGTTTCAAAATATGAGGTAAATATACAAAAATTGTTTACAAAATATGAGGTAAATATACAAAAATTATACCAGATATGAGCAACCAAAATTTGAAATTAGAAATACAGGCTAGGCATAGTGGCTCATGCCTGTAATCTCAGCATTTGGGAGGCTAAGGCAGGTGGATCACTTGAGCCCAGAAGTTTGATAGCAAAACCCTACCTCTGGAAAAAAAAAAAAAAAAAAAAAGAAAGAAAAATTAACCAGGAGTGCTGGAGTACACCTATAGTCTCAGTTACTTAGGAGGCTAAGGTGGCAGATAACTAAATTTGGGAGGTTGAGGCTATAGTGAGCATGCCACTGCATTCCAGCTTGAGTGACACAGTGAGAACCTGTCTCGGGGGAAAAAAAAAAAAAATCCACAAAACCATTTACTCTAGCACCAAAACAAATTATCTTGGATCATTTGAAAAAAAGTATAAAATTGGATCTATATGAAAAAACTATAAAATTCCAATTTAAGACATCAAAGTGAATCTAAATACATGAAAAGGTATTCCAAGTTTATGAAGAGGAAGACTTAATATTGTTAAGATGTCAATTCTCTCACTTGATCTGTATTCAACACAATCCCAATGAAAATCCAAGCAGTTATTTTGTGAATATCAACAAACTGATCCTAAAGTTTATATGGCAAGACAAAAGTCCCAGAATAGACAACACAATAACGAGAGAAAAGAACAAAAGTTGAAGGACTGACCTACTGACTCCAAGACTTGCTAAAAAGCTAAAGCAATTAAGAGAGTGTGGAATTGGTGAAAGAAGAGACAAATAGATTAATGGAACAGAATAGAGTCCAGAAACAAAACCACACAAATATATTCAACTAATCTTTGACAGAAACAAAGGCAATCCAATGGAGAAAGGATATTCTTTTCAATAAATGGTGCTGGAACAACTGGGCATCTGCATTTGAAAAAGTTAATTTAGATACAGACATTACATCTTTCACAAAAAGTAACTCAAAATGGAAGACAGACCTATATATAAATTGCAAAACGATTAAAATTCTGTAAATAACACAGAAAAAAATTTGAATGATCATGGGTTTGGCAATGAGTTTTTAGGTAAAACACCAAAGGCAAGATCCATGAAAAAAAAAATTGATAACCTGAACTTCACTAAGATTTAAAATTGTTCAGTGAAAGACAGTATTAAGAGCGTGAGAAGACAAACCCCAGGCTAGGAGAAAGTATTTGCAAAACACATATCTGATAAACGATTTGCTATGGTTCGGATGCGGTTTGTCCACGCCAAAATTCATGTTGAAAGGTAATTGCCAATGTAACAGTGTTGGAAGGTGAGGCCATTACAAGGTGGTTAGATCATTAAGATGGATTACTATCTTTCTCCAGAGACTGGGGTTAGTTCCCTGGAGACTGAATTAGTTCTCAAGGGAATAAACCACTTCTTTCAAGAACAGGCTGTTATAAAGAAGGCCAGTCTCTTTTGTCCCCTCTCTTTCACACATGTTAACATGCCTTTTCACTTTTTGGTCACGCTAAGAAGCAGCCCATGGCCCTTGCCAGATGTGGCCACTCAATTTTGAAGTTCTCAGACTCCAGAATCATGAGCTAAACCTCTTTTCTTTATAAATTTACCCAGACTCGGGGATTCTGTTACAGCAATAGAAAGTAGACTATGATAGACTTGTATCCAAAATATACAAAGAATTGTTAAAATTCAACAATAAATGCAATTTTAAAAACTGTTTAAAGAGCTGAACAGACCTCTCACCAAAGAAGATATACAGATGACAAGTACACATATGAAAAGATGCTCAAAATCATCATATGTTTTTAAGGAACTGCAAATAAAACAAGAGACCTATCAGAATGGCTAAAATCCAAAACTGACATCACCAAATGCTGGGAAGGATGCGAACAACAGGAACTCTCGTTCACTGCTGGTGGGAGTACAACATGCAACAGCAGCTTTGGAAGACAGTTTGGCAGTTTCTCACAAGACACATAGTCTTACTGTAAGATCCAGCAATCCTCTCCTTGTTATTTACCCAAATGAATGGAAATCTACTTATGTCTACACAAAAACCTGCCATAAATGTTCACGGGAGCTTTTTTTTTTTGAAGCAACTGATGTTTATTTTCTGTCAGCCTTATTTCCATGTTGCTTAAGAGCCCGTGCAAGAACAGCGTAAGACCACTCAGTGGTTGCTCCTACCCATCCAGTGGCCTGAGCAGTGGGAGCTGCAGACCAGGCTTCCGTGGCAGGATGGGCGCTCCAGTCTTCAGTAGGAACTACTGCATACGCACGGAGGGAACCTGCATGCCTCAGACCAGTGTGCAGCCTCAGGCTGAGTAGCAGTGAACTTAAGAGCTGCAGCAGTCCATTCGCCCTGAAATTCCTCCTTGGCTACGCCTTTTCTGCAGCAGCCTGCTCTTTCAATCTCTTCAGGATCTCTGTAGAAGTAGAGATCAGGCATGACCTTCCACAAGTGTTCATGGGAAATGGTGCCACACATGTGCAGAACTTCCCAGGCCAGCATCCACCACATCAAACCCAGCAAGCGAGCTCCCTTGTTGTTGCATGGGATGGCAATGTCCACATAGCGCAGAGGAGAATCTGTGTTACACAGAGCAATGGTTTGTAAGTTAATATAAGATGCCTCTGTGAAGCGGAGGTTGCAGTGGGCTGAGATCGCACCACTGTACTCCAGTCTGGGCAACAAGAGTGAAACTCCATCTCAAAGAAAAAATGCCTCTGTGAGAAGCTGCTGGTTAGCCCTTGAGTTAGTAACCACAAGAAGCAGTGGCTCCCAGGAGGCTGCTTGGATCTGGCTGGTGAAGGCTGCAGGAGTAAAGCGGCCAGCAACGGGGGTGGCTCCAGTGGCAGGAGCAAACTTCAGCATGGCCCTCTGGCCAGTATTCCTGGAGGATATAACACTGACATCAGCAGGGTTTTCAATGGCAACAATGGCACGAGCTGCCAGCAGAAGCTTCTCCCAGGTCCTCTTCAGATTTATGATGTAGGTGCCATCACTTTTCCTTTTACAGATGTACTGTTCCACCTGGAAGTCAAGATTGGTGCCACCTAAATGGGTTCCTGCTGCCAGGAACTTAAGAACATCCTCCTTGATTTGCAGGAAATCAAGGGCTCTGGACATTGTGAAAGTTTCGCTTTAAGTTATGACAGGAACCCAGAACAACGCCATATGTACCCCTCTGTGGGTAGCACGGAAAGGCCATAGGAACTTTATTCATAATTGCTATAACTTGGAAGCAACCAAGATGGTTTTCAATATGCAAACGGAAAAAAAAACCTGTAGTACTTCATCACAACGAAATATTATTTAGTGTTAAAAAGAAATACATATTCACAGCGGAATATTATTTAATGTTAAAAAGAAATAATCTATCAAGCTTACAAAGACAAATGAACCTTAAGTGAACATCACTAAGTGAAAAAAGCCAGTCTGAAAAGGCTACATACTACGTGGTTTCAACAATATTTCTATTCTGGAAAAGGCAAAACTACAGAGAGTGAAAAGATTCATTGCCAGCGAGCTGGGAAAGAGGATAAGTAAATGGAACACAGGGGAATTTTAGGGCAATGAAACTATTCTGTATGATACTGTAATGGATATATGTTACTCATGATATATTTTTCAATACCCACAGAATATACAAAACCAAGGAATATATAAAACCAAGAAGGAACCCCAAGGTAAACTATAGGCTTTAGTTAACCGTAACATATCGATATTGGTTCATATTGTAAGAGGTGTACCACACCAAAAACAAGCTGTTGAAAATCGGGGTACTGGAGTGGGAGACTGTATGAGAACTCTCTGTACTTTCTGCTCAATTTTTCTGAAAACCTGAAACTAATCTAAAATAAACACAATTCTGTGATCATTGATGCCTGACAGAATCACATCTCAGTTAAGACTGCTAGGTCCAATGCACGGCTAATTTACAGTCCTCGAATAGACCTACTCAGTTTTGTTCTTTTACCTGTTCCCCTTGGAATATTCTCTTTAAAAAAAAAAAAATCTTACGCTACTGTCACCAGACTCAACATCACATAAAAATGAAAAACTTGACTGTGTGTGGTGGCTGACACCTGTCACCCCAGCACTTTGGGAGGCTGAGGCAGGCAGATCACCTGAAGCCAGGAGTTCAAGGCCAGCCTGGTCAACATGGTAAAACCTTATCTCTATTAAAAATACAAAAACTAGCTGGGCATGGTGGCACACGCTTGTAATCCCAGCTACACAGGTGGCTAAGGAACCAGAATCACTTGAACCCAGAAGGTGGAAGTTGCAGTGAGCCGAGATCATGCCACTGCAGTCTAGCCTGGGCGGCAGAGTGAGACTACGTCTCAAAAAACAAAAAATGTTAAATCATCATGTTATTGTTAGAAAGGATCCTAGACTTTTTCCCAAACCCAGTTCTAACATTAACTCATATTTTCATTAGTTACATGACTTCAATTCTTTATATGTTGAATGAAGAAAATAATGCCTGATCAGTTCTCAGGGTTAAATATAAAGTTCAAATTAAACCATATATGAAAATGTCTCATAACACGGAATTAACCTAAATGCCCATCAATGATAGACTGGATAAAGAAAATGTACTATATGGACACCATGGAATACTATGCAGCCATAAAAAGGAACGAGATCATGTCCCAGGGACATGGATGGAACTGAAAGCCATTATCCTGGGCAAAGTAAAGCAGGAACAGAAAACCAAATTCTGCATGTTCTCTTATAAGTGGGAGTTGAATGATGAGAATACATGGACACAGTGGGGAACAACACACACTGGGGCTGTCAGAAGGTAGGGGGTAGGAGGAGGGAGAGCATCAGGAAGAATAGCTAATGGATGCTGTGCTTAATATCTAGGTGATGGGATGATCTGTGCAGCAAAACACCATGGTTACATGTTATGGTTACATGTTACGATTACATGTTACCTATGTAACACACCTGCACATCCTGTACATATACCCCTGAACTTAAAAGTTGGAAATCATAAAACAATAATAAGAAAGATAAAAACTCAAAACAAAGAAAATGTCTTATAAACTATACGGTTCTTCCATTGCTATGACCTCACTTGGACACATTCATCCTTTCTTTGGTTAGAAAACTCTGTCTCATGTTTTTAAAACCTAGCTCAAAGCTGTCTCTAAATCCCACAAGAACTCCATTACTCCTATGTATTGCCAGATTTTTATTCATAGTTCTGTACAGCACTGTGTATCTTATATTTTAATTTACTTATGCATTTCTCCTAGTGTGGACTATTCCACATTGGCCTGTATTCCAGGGCTTATAGTAGTATTTCAATAAATACTTGATGAATTAGCAGTAATATAAAGGTTCTATCCCACTGCTCTATAGTTTGTGATAATCACAAATCTATAAGCAACAGTTTCTTACATATATGTAAGAATATGTGTCCTTTTCACATATTATTTGCTCCTATCTGCTCCTACAGTCTGTCAGGTTCATAACAAAATAAAGGCCAAATACATTCTCTCTGTGAGTAGGCTGTAGTTGAAGTCATACAAAGGATTATTTTAAAATTTTTTAAATTAACCACTGAGTGGATCAACAGTCAGAATTAACTGAATGGTTGCTTAAGAAATAAAAACAAATTATTTAGATCTCAATAAAACCTCATCTCAAGGCTCCTGCAGGTGAGACAGTGTCAGGAAGAACATCCTCTAAGGGGCCCTTGAGAACTGTTGGCAAACTAAAGGCTCCAGTGACACTCAAGACAACACAGAGGTTTTACCTAACCGCTAGGAAAGATTCTATCATTATTATTAAAATCTTGGATTGGTGTGGTACACCTATTACAATGTGAACCAGTATCAATACATGATTAGTAACTGAAGTCTATAGTTTACATTAGGGTTCATTCTTTTTTTGTATATTCTGTGGGTTTTGACAAATACATCACAAGTAACATATATCCATTACAGTATCATTTACTTAACCACATAACAAACTAAGACCTGGCAAAGGGGGTGGGAAAAGAGAAAGACAACAAAGGGAGGAACGCTCGAAATATTCACAGATAGGCAAAAGAACTTTAAATAAACTAGACAACGTTTGTGTCTTCAGAGACCTCTACATTTCCTATCTTCAGTTTTCCTGTTAAATGTTTATTAGATCCCTATTATGTGCCAAGAATTCTACTTAACACTAGAGAAATAAAGATGATGAGACTGCTCAGGAAAACCTCATAAGCTGTGAAATAGGTCATCACAACCCAATTTATTACGATGATTTTCTTAGTTATCAGGCCCAATCAAATGTCTGTTAAGGCACTTTAAATTAATGGCACCTTTTAAGAAATCACAATATGACATTAAGTCAACTGTAAGATGTACTCTGTAATTACAAACATTTAAGTATGAAAAAAAGAACATCAGATAATTGGTATAATGTGATCTAATACAGTGGTAAACAGTATGCTCCTGTTCCCAGATCCTCTATTTACTTCACCTTGGGCAAGTTACAACCTCTGAGTCTCAGTAACCTTCTTGTTAAAATGGGTACATTAATACTAGTACCTGCCCTCAAGGTGTTATTGCCAGAATTAAAGAAAGAACTCACATAAAGCTCTTAGAACAGAGCCTGGCACACAGCAAACTCTCAACAAATGTCCATTATTCTGACTTATTATAGCAAAGGCTAAAATAAAAGTAAACAAAGACATCGACCTGGGCTAATGAGAGGGAGAATGTTCACTAGAGGGAAGTTTCCTGAGGTAAGTCTTAAAGGCTAAGAAGAAGTCAACAAAGTGAAAGGGTATGTAGGAAGGGAAGAGGGGGAAGGGGCGAAGACGACCAGCAGAGCTTCCGGGCAAGAGGAATACAAGAAAAAAGCCCAGAAATTTAAAAAGTCCAGGCAAAATACAGTATACATACTCAGAGGCTCTTCCATGTCACTCAAAGTACACAATTTAAAACATTTTGATATGAAAAATAAAATATAAATAGGGAGATATTTTTAAATAGATTGTGAAAGTCACGTTAATTTAATTCTTTAGAGAAAGGGTCCTGCCATGTTGGCCAAGCTGAAATGCAGTGGTTATTCACGGAGCTATCATAGTATCCTCCTGCCTCCACCTCCCAAGAAGCTGGGACTACAGGCACACACCACCGTGCCAAGTGCTGTGTTCGCTTTACAGATAAAAACCTGAGCTTTAGAATTCCCACTTTATTCCCAGACAGATTGCTTCTGGTTGCCTCATAAATAGGGAGTGGCACTGGCCTAAAATTTGCAAAGCACTGCAAACTATAAGGGGCACCTCTACAGACAAACAGGCAACCATTTGGAAGTATGAGAACTCTCCCAGTCCCTCAAATTGACCCATTTAGCCAGTGATCTTCTACATCCTTTAGGGAAAAGTCTGAAAGTACTTAAAGAAAAGTCAATATAGCAGAAGTGTGGACAGTGAAAATATGTGAAAGCAATCCCCTCCCAGGTCATATTCCACAGTCATCAGAAAAGGTTCCTCAAAAAAGAAAGGAAGTCAAGGAAAGATGGATCACTCACCAGAGCGGGTCTGCATGAGACACACTGATGACGAATGCCTCTCCTGTCTGTCCAGAAAGAGTCCGGCCACTTTTATCAACAATCGTCCCTGAAATCTGAATTGACAAAGTAAACGAAGTCAACAATACAGACTCAAGTTAAGAATATAGGTTTAAAGACAAAATAAAATGAACAAGCTGACTTCCTTTGTCCTTTTACAAGTAAAAGAGCTGTGGAACTCAAAATCAAAGGGAGCACTTTCTATAACAGTTAGAATAGACACATGCCAAGAGACTTGAGGGAGAACGCAAGAAGCCACAGAAACAGAGACAAGGGAAAGTCCCTGAGGCAAAAGCAATGACCAAAACAGCCTTGGATTTCACATGTCCAGTCTCGTTAGAGGCAGGTTTCCCAGAGATAACCTCGAGTCGTCCTGACCTCCTGCTGTTAAACATTGGATTTATCTAACACCCATGTTTTGATTTGATTCAATTCTCATCAAGCAATTTTAGGACTCACAGAGAGGTACGCCTATTGAGTTAATAAACTGGCAGTCTGGTGTCTTCTGTGTTGAGTATGTGGCCATCAGCATGCAAGTCCAGCCCTCCTTAGGCCCTAATCAGTCTTGAAGTCTTTAACTTCAAGGACCAATACAGTGGGCTTCTTTTGAACAGCTTGCCTTCCACCAACTACTTCTAGATTCATTTTCCTTGCCTCTCCAGATAAAAGACTGTTATTGATCTAGAAGTGGTGGGAGGGAAGTGAACAGAAGTTAAAGTAGATGAATTCTAAAAGATACTATCAACAGTTCTACTATGCAAGCGGGGAAAACATGCTCAAAAGAACAATTATTAATAAAAGACAGAATGTATTGTGCAAACACATTAGAACTTACAAAGATAGGCCGGGGAGCATATGTCTCCTCAAAAAGTTTTTGGAGTGCAAACAAGGCTGCCTGTCAAGGAAAAAAGGGAGAATGCCTTTATTTCTGAGGCTGTGTCCAAGGTTAGTATAACTTCCCAATTAGAAGGCACCCTTTTCTAAGACCTCTTCAGATAAGATATGCATCAAGCTCTCTAGGAAGAAGCATCTTCCTTACAAGGCCCAACCCCAGCACCCCTTTCTCAAATGTAATACTGTGCATATTAAAATAAAACAAATCCTGACTTAAAGTCCACCTAGAAACTACTGCCTCTGAGGAGGAGCTGAAGAGCTATTCTTTCTTCCTTTTCTCAATGAAAATTAAAAGTAAATAAATAACACTCAGGAGGCTGAGACAGAACAACTGCCTGAGCCCAGGAGTTCAAGGTTGCAGCTAAGCTGTGATCATGCCACTGCATTTCAGCCTGGATGACAGAGCAAGACCCTGTCTCAAAAATAAATAAATAAATAATAATGTCCCTGCCTTTCATATCCTTTCATATACATGGTTAAGTATGTGAACCTACAGCATCACTTCCAGCACTGTGAAAGACAGCATGAGCTGAGATTAGGTAGAAAAAGTACAAATCCCATGTTACTCTGTGCTGTTCTGTCCACATTTTAAGTTCCAGGCAACATATCTCTTTTTGTCATTACGGTGCTTGATTCTAAGATAGGCATGTTTTCACAATTAATTCTCTGAAATCAGAACGCAACCTGTAATGTGTCCCTTTCCAGTGATGGTAGGTTTTTTTCATGGAAAGTTACTAAATCAACAATATCAGAATTTCCATTTTAGAACCAGACAAATTGATCCTAAAGATCTTATGGAAAACAAACATATAAGAATAGCCATGAAAGTTCTGCAAAAGGGGGTGGGACTCAATAAAAATAAAAAAAAATCTAGGTCTACCAGTTACTCAGACATATTCTAATGTTATGGCTAATAGTCCACTAGTGTCACATCAGCAAACAGATTACTAGAAAACACTAGATCCAAATGCACTCTCGAATTTTGGATGATAAGGATAATGCTCCACATCATTCCTATCACTGGGAAATAACAGGATGTTTAATAGATGGTGGTAGGAAAACTAAACTTTAGAGGGAAAAAGTTAGCGCTCGATTTTATTTCTCACTCCAAAATAAATACCAGATGCATTGTGAGGGAAACTAGTTCTGTATAATCAGAAGAATGTGTGCCACACATTTGAAACTTAGAAACAACTTGGAAACTCAACAAAACCTATCCTTAATGTTTTATCCCCGAATGTTAATCCCTCTTATTTCCAATCTAAACAATACTGTGACTCTTTTCAAATGTATATATGAATCTCATTTCAAATATATTCCTTATCTTGTTTGTTACTGCTCTTATTTTCAAAATGTGTATCTGAATTCCTTTTAAAATTATAATTTCTTGGCCGGGCGCAGTGGCTCAAGCCTGTAATCCCAGCACTGTGGGAGGCCGAGGCGGGTGGATCACGAGGTCAAGAGATCGAGACCATCCTGGTCAACATGGTGAAACCCCGTCTCTACTAAAAATATAAAACATTAGCTGGGCATGGTGGCGCGTGCCTGTAATCCCAGCTACTCAGGAGGCTGAGGCAGGAGAATTGCCTGAACCCAGGAGACGGAGGTTGCGGTGAGCCGAGATCGCGCCATTGCACTCCAGCCTGGGTAACAAGAGCGAAACTCCGTCTCAAAAAAAAAAAAAAAAAATTATAATTTCTTTACTGGAGGTTCACAAAACAATTTCTTAAAAGATATATAAAAAGAACTTAATAAAAGTGATATGTGAAGAGTGAGGTAGGGTAGGCAGCTAGCTTCAGGCTGGTAGTGGCTCTCTACATTCTTCCTGCTTGCAAGTATTTTAGAAAATGATTTTTTTTTTAAGTTCAAAAATTTGGGATCTGTGGTCTTATTTCCACAACAATTAAACATTTAATGCAACCGTAAAATACTAGGGAGGAAAAGGCCATTTTTCCATTTTTTTCCTCTCTTTGACCAAGGAGTGCCTCTGTAAGTATAATCTCCCCTCTCCCTCCATAAAAAAATAGAATCTGTAAATTCAACCATACAACATTTAAGAAAAAATCTCCTATACTATTAAAGCACACATACACACAAAACAATGCCACAACACTACCACCATCACCACCATAAATAAAGTCAAATGTGAAACAAGCCAGAGGACAGTATTGCTACTCATGATTGACAAGGACCTGATTTCCTCAGTAAAGGACTCAATTTTAAAAAGCCAAAGTCCAATAGTAAAAAGGACAGAAGACATAAACCACAGAAAAAGAAATATAAATGGCTCTAAAACTGAAGAAAGATGCTCAAGAAATATGCAAGTTAAAACTACAGTGAGGGACCACGTGTCAAACTGAAAAAGGTCAAACAGTGCTAGTGAGGGTGTCGTGAAACCAGCACTATTGTACACCGCCTGCTGAAGGGAGTATAAATGAGTCCAGTCTCAAAGGAGGGTAATTTGACACTAAAGACAAATATTACCAATGCACATCCCTCTGATTCAGCAATTTTACTTGTAGAAATATATCCTATATACTGTATAAAAACATATGTATAAGGATATTTGCTTCTCTCCCCATACACTTATGTGTCTTTGCATGTATGTAAGGAACACACACACACACACGTACATGCATGCTCATATCTGCATAGTATCTGTCAGGACCCCCAAACTGGTAATTATAGTTGTCTCTGGAAAGGGAGCTAGATAACTACAGACTAGGAAAGGAAAGGAAAAGAAATTCACTTTTCACTCCATATATTTATGTATCTTTCAAATTTAGAACCAGCAGCATGTATTTATTACCTAGGGACATATGCACTTATAGTAGCTGTATATGAAAATATTTATTTTCCTAATTAGAAAAAGTTACTTTAACAGCTTCAAACGCAGATTTTTTCAAGTTTTTCTTATTGTACTGGCCTCAGTTAAAAATATTCAAGAATAAAATGGAGCAAATACAGGTAATTTATTTAACTTTGATAATGGTTAATATTATCTTCTCCCTACATTAGGGGACTCACCCATAGCCCTCACCCCCGCCCTGTCTGTTTTTTCTCCCTTAACTCACCTTGGCATTGGCAGTATCAAAAACAGTTTCAATGAGTAAAATATCAACCCCGCCATCCAGAAGTCCTCTGGCTTGCTCTTGGTATGCTCCAACAAGCTCATCAAATGCTGCAAAAAATAAATCACACCCAGCACATCAGTCATCAGTAATCTCTGAATGGCCCTAGGGTATCCAAGTACAGGTCTGGCACCTGTGAACTGTTGCTGGTTTACAATCCATAGTTTAAGAACATGATCTTTTGTAAGAAACCAAATAAAGAAATGTGGCAGGGACAGGAGGTAAACAAGTAAGCTGAACGCAGTTGTTCCTAAACGCCTGCCACATAACTTCCACTTCCCATGTATGAGCTGAGAAGAGGGACGGTGTATGAATTTCTTGAACATGTACCTCATATTCAACATCTTTGAAATACATCATTCTTTCCATAGCTCATTTCAATCAACCGGTTAAGAGGTAACTGTGAGAAACATGCCACACTGACGTGGGTAGGTCACAAACTGAATTCAAGTCACTCACTGTGGTAAACGGCTGTAGGGCCACAGATTTTGTCTCTGGTCTTACACCGACTCTGTCAGAGAAGAAACCTGTCTGGTGGGCAATTCCAGTCTCAAACAAAAAGTGTTCAATCACCCCTAGGTAAAATTTTTGTTATAAATGTCTTGGGTTGGCCCGGTGCAGTGGCTCACACCAGCACTGTGGGATGCCAAGGAGAGCAGATCACTTGAGGTTGGGAGTTCAAGGCCTGTCTGGCCAACATGGTGAAACCCCGATTCTACTTTAAAAATACAAAAATTAGCCCAGCACGGTGGCACACACCTGCAGTCCCAGCTACTGGGGAGACTGGGGCAGGATAAGCATTCGAACCTGGGAGGTAGAAGCTGCAGTGAG